AAAGAGGACCCTCAGGTACCACCCAGGCTTTCAGCAGACAGGCAGTGAGCACAGAGCAGGAACATGGATGCAGCCTGTCACCTTACTATTATGGTTTAATCCTGTTTTAAAGGGTGTCAGAGCACCCAGTTCCTCTTCATTTATTTTTCTGAGACATCAGAACCCATAGAGAAGCTCACACAAAATTTGTATGGATGGAAGCAGGCTCCACGCCAGGCAGGCTGCTGTATGCCATTTGAAACAGCATTTCCAGAGGGATAAATGACTGAACCAATCCAACAGATTCTGGTGCCTGACTTTTAGGGAAAGTGTTCAGGCACATTCTATTTGGAATACAAAAAACTTTTCCTCCATGCTGTGAGATTATCTAAATAAGCCACATCAACTCTTTCTAATCATAGAGATGTGGTGTTATTTTTAAACCTGCCAAAAATTTTTAAGCCAAATGGTGTGGGATATTACAGTTACAGGGCCTCAAAAGAGTTATTTGTCTCTGTTTATTTTATTAAATATTCCTAGACATACCCTTAGGATGACAGATCAATAAGTGCCTTTGTGGTTTCCTGATAGAAGGCAGCAATTATTTTCTTCCATTACAATATAAGCATAACCCAATTTTGCTCATCTATCTTGAGTGTAATGGTAATAAAGAAGCATCACAGTGTGTTTATTTTACTGTCACTTTATCTTTTGTTTTGGTGATCTTCTGTTTTCATTTCACATTTTTCCAACTGTTTGCGCTTTTCATTTGTTTGGAGTGGCAACCGGTTTGTTTTGCTTAAGACACCTGTTTGGAACATGGTGGCAAAGCCTATCTGTGGTTTCTCTTTTCCTGTAAGGTGAATGGAGTACTTTAGCATTTCATCTGAAATTACCTGTAGAAGAATAAAAAACACAGACACATTAGAGTATCTGGATTTGGATTTAATTTTTAGAGGTGTTTTTTTCATGGAAGTCAACCGTCATTGAAGTTGTGTATCAGGAGAATTGAGCTCACAACTGTGTAGCACATAAGAGACACAGAAAGGCTAAACAAAGCCTCTAACTAATTAGAATTTAAATGTATAGTTGAGATTGTCAATATTAAATTCAACCCATCTTCCTCATTTGGAGAATCATATTTAATTCTTGATAGGGGAGCAGACTACTGGACTATGTCTGCAAATGAAGCAACAACTGTCTCTTCATCTAAATATTCCTCTATTATGAGGAGTCCCACACCAGAGCTGATAGTGACTGTGCCAAATAAACTCCATAAAAGCCTACATCCAGTTTTCTCTTCATTGTGGGTGAGAAAATTCCTGAACAGTGATTCACAATCCTCCACAGCACCTACCTTTCAGATCCTTGTTCTGACTTGGGCAATAAAACCCCTTTACCTTGACTCCTAATTTTTCTTTTAATTTAAAGCCAATTCTGTTTCCTCCATGCTGTCGTTGAAGTAACAGCCAGCTCTTCACTGAAGGGAATTATTAGGAGGTGCTAACTGGTCACAGCTCCGTTGAGGTACATCTGATATCAATCAGATGCACATTGGATTCACTTATCTTAACCCTGACTTCAGTGAGTCCAGGCTTTGACTTATTCTGTATTTCACTTAAACACAATTGGAAATGTTTTCTTTAGATTTTATGAAGTTTTCCATGAGCACTGGAATAAGTGATGCACAGTTGTATCTGGATTTATATCTTGTGGTTGGTTGACTTCGCTGTCCAATTAAGTTCTGACAGAGACTTCTCTGTCCCATGGGTGAGCAATACCTGCTCTGGTCCCTGTGAGTCCTTCTGATGTTTATAGAGAGACTCCTTACACTTCATCAGTTTCTACAGCCTGAGCATACATTGGATCTGTCTCTGGGTTCACACCTGGATTCACATCTTTAAGATTTCTTATTGTTGAGGTTGTCAGGACAACTAATGGAAAGACAGGCATACAACAGCGTGACATGTTAAAATTAATTCCTTTAGGAAACAAGGCTAAAAACTAACACTTTTTTTCAACCACATCAAGATGAGGTGAAGTATTGTTTTTTAAATACTTAAAATCTGAGAAGAAGATGTTGAGGAAGTGTTTTGGATGTTTTATTCTGGTTTATTTTGGTCTAATTCTACCTTTAGCAACCTCAGACTATATAGTCCTGAGGGACAGCCACTTAAAAAGATGGAATACCTGAAGTCCAACAAAATGATGTACAATTGTCTCGTGGGACTTTTTTTGATAACATGAAATGGCCCTCATCAGATACTAACTGTAAATTATCAGATCACACTCCCCTGCAAACATTGCTAAAGGCTTGTTTTTCTTTTTAATGTTGAAGCTACTGGCATTCCATATACACTGCTGTACTGTTTTCACTGTGCTATGACTTAATCTCAGTGGTCAGTGCCTTTCACTTGCATAAGTGGTCTGTGGTTTCATTCTTTCAACATCAAAGAGAAAGATCATCTTGGCTACATTACAAAAAGCAAGTTTTGAATTTTGCCAAAATAAACTCTGACAAACTCTTACAGTTTATAAAACCTTCCTTTTAAGTTGAAGGTGACTTATAAAGGGGAAAAAATGGGTTATGCCCTCATGTAGTTTTTTATAATATACAAAAAGAGCATAAGAAGAGTTGAAGGGTTTGAGGGGTTTTTTTTCATTATTATTTTATCTCTAGCAAAATCAACAAAGACCAGAATTTACATTCCTGAGACAAGTATAAACATAAGATATAATGGGATTTCCTCTTTCTGCCTGTTCCTGCCTCTCCTTCACCTTCCAACCTTGCAGGTCTATTTTACACTTCTGAGAAAAACAGGTGTATGAAGGATGCCTGGCAATTTCTTGTCAATCTTGTTGGCTAGTTGAAACCTGAAAAAACTCATGGGACACTTTTAATTGGAACCCTAATGAGTCCTCTGGAATAAAGCAATGAAAATGGAATGGTGGAATGGCAAAGTTGACAGTTCTGATATTTTAGTGCTAAGCAAACAATCAGGACAGAAATTTCTAACTGCCTTTATGCCATTTAAAGGAACCACAAGAGACCACAGAAACATTTTCCCTTTATCAATTTAATGTAGCAGAAATCATAGCTCTGATGACATTTCTTGAAAATGGGCAACTATAATAAACTATCTGCAGTATAAGACATTCAGTTCTGATATGCAAAGCAGCAGCACACTCTGGAAAAGCTCTTGAAACAGGAAAGCACTTCCCAGCATGTGAAAAGTGGCAAATTATTCTGTCAATATTTTAATGCTGTGCTTTGCTACAAAAAGATCACCTTATGAAACAGGTGTATAGGCAAGAACAGAGTGAGATAAATTAAAGGCCATGAATTTTAAAGACAGTCACTCACAAATAAAATGGCCCATGAATAATGAAAAAAAAAAGTATTTTCAGAGAAGAACAATGTTCATTGTTAAAAACTAAGAAAAAAAATGAAAAGAAACATCAGAACAGCAATAACACAGTGAAGAAAGATAAGAAGTACCTGTGATGCATGTTTGCTAACTTCCTTCTAGTTCCTGAAAATTGCCTTCCTCCCCAAAAAAGGGAATAAAATGCTGGGTCTGTTGCTGTATCAGTATCTGCAGGCAGTGCTTACATCTGTGCTGAACACCTGGAGCCTGCCTTGATAGGGAGCAGTCTGCCAGGTGCTGAGGATGTAATGGTGCTCAGACTGGGTCAGATTCCCCTCTGCCCCTCTAAGCACATTCTCACTACCAGGGACCAGCCAGCATTAGGTTTGACCTGATGATCTTAAAGGTCTTTTCCAACCAGAAGAATTCTACAGTTCTATGATTCGAAGCCAAATCAGGTCTGTAATGGGTGCTTTTCCCCAGACTCCACCATCTCACCCTGGCAGTAAAGAGCAGCCTTCCTTTTTCATGCAAGAGGCTCCCACCTCCAACCAGGGCATGTGACACCAGCCCACCCTGATGCCCTGTGTTGGGCAGCTGGGCTGAGGAGGACTCTGGTGGTACAGGGGTGATTAAGACCTGTGGTTCCCACTCTCACCAGGAGCCACTCCAACAACAGGGCATGATAGACTCCATTCAGCCCCAGGTTGAGCTGTTGCTCTATCCTGACACAGGCTTCATCCCAGCTCCCATGACAGGTCTGGCCATGCCTGCTAGTAGATGACAGTGTGCCACCTCTGAGCTCTTGCATTTGAGAAGAGAAAGCTTCCCAGAGTGGACACTCAAGGTCCTGCTGCATCAGCAGGACAATTCAAAGCTCTAATGTTTTGTGTTTCAAATGAAATGTTTCAAGTACCTGATTCCCAGAGTCTGTATTTCCTGTACAAGAGCTGACACTAGCACAGACACTGGCCAGAAGGGAAAACATAACTTCTGTGCTTTCTTCACTCATCATATTTCAGGTGGTTGAAAAGCAGTGACCACCTGAAAACACAGTGTACAGAGAGGGAACCCTCCCAATGAAACTACCAGTATCCTCATTCAGAGGCACTGTTCATAGACACTTCTTTCATTAAGAAAACTGATTTCAGTGGGACTGTTTATGTATCAAGCATGAGTAATTGTATTACAGTCTGGCTCTTAATGGCAAGTTCCAAACCAGCTCTTTCTTTTTTTTTTTCCAAAGAGGGCAGTGATTCAGCATTAACATAGTTTGGAATATGAGTGATATATTCAGGGACTCCTCAGTGCACATGGATATGAATGTTAATGAATACTTTTTGAGATACTGAAAGAACTAACTGCCTAAATGTTCCATTTATCTGTATCACAGTCTCTCAAAAACACAGGAAAAAAATTACTTAAAAATATATAAATAAAAACACTTTCTTAGCACCATAAGGACCTCAGGGATTTTCACAGTCAGTTTACAGGACCTAATTCTTACAGCAATGAATCACTACCAATGCTAAATAATCTAAATGATCAGGGACTTACATTTTGTAACTAAAATTGAGGGGATGGCTACCTGGCAATGGAGTAGGCAAAAAGAGAACAGAAGTCCCCAAATGTTACAAATTAACTGTCACTTACCCTGTTCAAGCAGTATTTACTCTCTTTCCCATAAAAGTGCTGGAGACATTTCATGTTCTGCTTGTCGACGATCTTGTTGAAGAACTCGTTGATGGTTCGCACGGAGACAGCGCAGACAGCAGATCTGTTGATTGGTTCGGAAGAGTCTGGTTTGCTTTGTGCAAAAACACCATAGAGGATATCATCGTTTAAGCCAAGGCCCATTTCATGGGCTAGAGCTGCACCTGGCTTGCTTACGTAGGCAGCTTGCAGAATGTTGAACACCTCCTTTCGGATGGACCTCTTCCTCCGCTTTTCGGTAAAAATACACTCAAGAGGCATTTCCATGTAAGATCGCATCTCTGAGTCTAAAGTGCAGAAGCGGATAATTCTAGTGTGAAAAGCCTGAGAGTCAAGAGATTCTCTCTGGACAGTCAGAAAATAGACAAAGTGATCATTTTCAAAGGCATGGACGTACCTAATTGGGTACGAGTCGCGGAACTGAGGAAGGATATCTATATAAGATTGATCTGTGAGAAATTCAAAACCATCCTGTGTTTCTTTTAACCTTCGAACCGATATTGAATGCAGCACATGAGGAGGCTGAAATGTAGATGTCACAGTATTTCCCACAAAGAAGTTGACAAACCTGTCCTTTTCAGTCACCAAAACTTTGGTTCCTAAAGTGCTCACAACACAGTCAGGACAATTATCTGCTTCTCCATCCACCCGGGGCGAATACATGCAGTGCACCTCGCTTTCAATGTCAGCAGGGTTGTCAGGGTGAATGATGTGACGGTGGCAGATGCCTCCAGACACACTGCCACAGCTGATGAGCTGATCATCATAATAAGTTTCTAAGAGCAGTGCCATGTTGACATTATCCTTCCATACGCTGTTAGATAAATTTGCTTTATCTTTGCAGTCTTCACATGGCATGCAGTCGGGGTTCTCCAGAATGGGTCCAGTCTTGTACACAGAAATGTTCTGGAGAGTTTCATTTAGTACATAAATCTTGTTGACTGCTCCAATATAAACATGATGCTTGTATAAAACTACATTCTGAATCGGTGTTTCTGCAACGAAGTTAGGAAGATCATATTTTACACTCAAATCCATCTCTGATTTTTTAGCTGCTTCTTTGCATTGTCCATGGCTCCTCTGCAGCAAGGCAAACAGGAATACGATAAACCCAGAAGGATATGCAGTAAAAGGCTTCATTGTCATAGACCTAATCTGTCAAAATATATTTAAAGAGTGGTTATACTTCATAAACTAAAACATCAGTTCATCAGTCAACAGAAATATGTTTCTAGGCTGCACATACCAGCTGAACTATTTCAGTAAAAGAAGTGTTGTAATCTTGCTTAGTGTCATTAAGTCTTGTGCTAGAAACTGCTATGATTACTGTTCTTCATGGGTACCCATTTCAGTACTTTCAGAACAGTCACAGAGGATTTTCTCATGATGAATTTTGCAAGACCCCTTGGCGTGTTGTACAGCAGTAGAGATGACTCCTTCCATACTGGCATTAAACCAGCTGCCTGATACAATTTAGAAGATGGTGCACAGGTAGATGAAAGCAGATTGGGACGCAACTGCACATAACACAGTTGCAGCAGTTCAGTGCATGGACATTTGGCAAGCTCTTCAAGGGGCTGAGCTGGTTCTTAGTACAGCTGTTCAAAAGTAAGAAATAGGAAAGACTTGAAATAATGTGACGATCTGGGCTGAAATTGGCTTCTTTTATTCTGTCGACATTTTTTATTTGACTTTTCTCCACCAGACCAAAAGAAGAAACCCCCCTCTCTCTTCCTCTAGCTCCCCAAATCACTGCCTTTCATAAAGGCCCTGTTTGGAAAAAAGAATTATTTTTTTTTCAGCCAGCTCCACTTCTTGGAATAGTCATTTTCACTAGTGTTGACAAGGTTTTGTAATATATTGTTAGAATATTTCATGCATCATGTGGTGCCTGGCATGTACAAGTTTTATTTTAGACCCTGTACCACAGCAGTAAGTCACTCTGGTGAACCTTTACAAGATACAGGGATATCACTGTGTTGTAAACAAAGGGGTATCAAGTAACCCATGGCCATTAACTGATGAAATAAAAAAACCTAGCACTTTCCTTTTTTTTTTTTACTTCTCCACACAATTGTTTGATGTGGCTTGAAAAACCAAAGGCAGATGACTAGTGTGATATTTCACCCCCTCTGAAGATCAATTAAATGAACTGTGGTTATGAGCGTTTCGGTGCAGTGTCCACGCTATGCCCTGTCACACCAAAGATTTTCTGTTCATGTCATGACACAGTTGTTAAGCCAAATTTAGATTCCTCATGGAGAAAACAATTATGCATTCTAGCAGCAATATGATACCATACTTTGGGAAAATACTTATCGTTTGGCTATAGTTAAGCAATTCTTGCTAACAGAGAAATGCTTATGACCACTGAAAGGATTTAAAATAGACAACTTTGAAAATTACAAACTAATAATAGGAATCTATACTGACTTCTTGTTTCATTATGACTTCACGCAAAATTAAAGATGCTGACAGACCAGAGCTGTTTCAGCTATGTATAAACTCAATGTTTTCACTAGATTGGTTAAAACAATCCATCAATAATCTCCTGCGTGCCTTGTGACATTTTATTTCAGCATCCACTGAACTCTCTTTGTGGCTTACCTCATTAATTACACACAATAATAGGTTTTGGAAACAAAGAATTGTTCTTTCTCCCTGTTATCTTATAAGAATCATGATCAAGACCTGGGGATAAAAGTCAGAAACACAGCCTACTTGCAAGTATTAGCTGGTAAGAACAAGTCACACTTCTGGCATTGTGAAATTAAAATCTTCCTTCAAATCAACATTTTCTGATATTAATTAGTGACAACAGAATCCTGGAAACAAACCAAACAGATTTGAGTTTATAAGAAAATGAAAAGAAAAAGCAGGGCTATTGCTATAATTAGAAAATAGCACCAGTACACAGTGCTGATTTCTGTATTGCGTATGTCAGTAAATGTTCTCCTCCTCTGAAACTTCTTGCTATTACAGAGTTTTGCCTTCTCTGTGCTGGGATGAAACCAAGAGCTTTCAAAGTTTGTGTAAAACACCCAGAAGCCACACCCGATCCAAGAACAACCATTTCCACAATCCTGCCTCACAAAGGTCCTGGCAAGGGGAGGAGCAGGAGCCTGGTCCGTCTGCCTCCTTCCAGCTGGTGCTTCCAACCAAGAAACTGCTACAACTGATACACTCCTGCAGACTCGCTTCTGACGTGTCAACATGTTCTGACAAATACTAGATTAAGCAGAAAATTCCAAAAGTGCTCTACTTCTGACACAACACAGAGGCAGGTATATTGTTTACTACAACAAGTTTAAACCCACTTAACAGAGGCGGCACTGCAGTGGAGAGAGAAAACACTAGGGGGAAAATAGAAGAGGATGAGGATGAAAATGATCTACCACCAATAGAGGAAAAAAGCTGCAAGGTTACTTGACAGGTACCTACTTTGTTACAGTATATTCTGTGCTATGTTCTTGTCTTAATATGTTCCCAAATAGACTTCCCACCCAGTATGCCCCTCAGTCTTCAGTCTTCCCATTCTTCGAGCATCCACAAAAGAAGATCCCTAGCTGTCTAGCAGTAAAAATCCCTCACTGAAGAGGGATTTAGAGCCATAAATACTGTCTGACTTAGTCTTTCCCTCAAACCACATCTTGGGATGTGAGGCCAGAATCCTCAGATAGGCTACTGTCTTCCTACATGCAGTTGGTGAAACAGCGTTAGTTTGAATCTGTGCTCTGGAGACAGAAAATTCCTCCTTAGGCTCCTTTAGCAAATGAGATCTGAAGCAAAAAGCTTAACAGCAAGAACAAGGGCGGGATTCAGTGTAATGCAAAGGATGCCAAGAATAATAGGTACTGTATTTCACCACTACAGGAAGGAAAATATGAGCAATAAATGAAAACCAAGTCATCTTACATCTTAGCTCCATCATTTTGTCTTCCTTTGTATGTTTTTTGAGGAGTTTCAAGCACTCTCCCATACAAAAAATCTACTGATTCCCACTTACAGGAATCTCAGGCTTAGATTTATGGGCAGCTCAAGGGAAGATGGCTCCCCCACAATGCATGTCTCTACCACACTGTGTATCTTTCCTCAAGGCACCTGAAATCAGAAGACACATGTTCCACTGTGAGACATTTATAGCTTAGGGGGGACATAGGAGTTATGTGAAGAGCACATGTGATTTGCACAGTGTGCAAATCCTTTTTTTAGGTATTCGTTTTTTTTTCAAAGTCCTCACATGATATATACTCCACTGTTACTCACTGAGACTCCGTGATGTTTGGTGCCTCTTGTTATCTCTATTTGACCCATAGTCTTTCTCTATTACACTGCTACAGCCTGCATTACAAGTTGCTTTTTTGTAACCTCCAGACCAGGTCATTGCAAACACACTTCACTTGAAGCAGGAAAAGTTCGGAGAATTAAATGGTCCAATAGTTCCCATTCTCCTTAGCACATACTCATATGTAATTTCAGTTGAACTCAAGCATTTAAAGAGTTTTACTGAATTAGAACCAAAATACTTAGGTTAAAAGATACACTTTTTGAATACAGGTCAAAGAACTGGTTGCTGGCTATCAGTTGCAAAAGGAAAACAAGTAAACCCTCTGTTCCTGTACTTGGTTTGGATGATGCATGCTGTTCATTCTTTCGTGACCTCTCCGTGACTTGTGTCTTTCATGTGTCTACAGAAGACTTGTAAGCTTTGACTGGTGATAACTATCAGCAAGCAATAGCTGTGGATGGATTATTTCTTTTGTAAGAGATATTTTCAAAGCCTGTGTCATGATGTGCTCATTTTTCCATCCCTCAGCAGACTCTAGCTTGTATAACTGATGAGAAAATGGATTTTGATCAACCATTGCAAGTGGCCAGTAATGATGTGTCATATTATTGTGCCTGGCAACCTCAAGTGCTATGGCTGATGCTTCTCACCAGGCTTGGTCTTGAGTGCTTGTGCACCATTAACAGCTTCCTGATGGCAATCTTTTTCTACAAGCTCCATTCTCCCTAATTACGGCCTGGGTGACAATTTGTAAACATTGAACATCATGTCTCTTCTTCACACCGTTTGCCCCCATAATGACAAGTCAGGCCTGGCCTTATTGTAAAACAATGTTCAAGCTTTCATATGCAAGGAACCCAGAGAGCAGTCATGCTTGTTTTTCTAGCCCTCATTTCAACAACTTGGGTCCCATCTACCTCTGATCCCAAAGCACTCCATGGATCTGCACAAGCTAAGACAGCACACTGACACGAAAGCATAGGTTGCTTTATTTCAGAAAGTGAAATAGCAGGGTCCTGTGTATCCCACATAGAGCATGTTTATACAAGAGCATGCACATTTAGTCCTCAAATAGGTAATTTTAGGTTAGGTAACAGCAGAGCTATGTTAATTCACATTTCACAAACTCAGATGTCAGCAAGTGGTAGCCTTTCCCTTTCTTTAATGAAGTATTTGATAGCATAGCTTTTTTTCTTTCCAGTGGGATAGTACATCTTGGTACTATGGGCTCTGACAGACAAATTTATATAGGATAACGCTACTGATTGCTGCTCCTCAGAGTTCAGTTTGCTTTACTATTCTGGACCAGTATTTGTGCCAGTTCATGACTTTATTCCCTGTGGATCAGATGTCCTGCCATGAAGACAGTGGCATTATTTAACCAGACAGGGCAACTGAAAGGGGGAGATGATAACAGCTCCATCCATCCACCTTGAATGTGTTGTTGCAAATCTGTCACAGCACTCGCATCAGCTTCAACAGATTAAGCTCACACAGGATGTGTCTTCATCAGACTTTTCAATTAACTGATTGCATATCTAGGCAAGATTGGTTATACGTAAAATGCTTATTGAGGTTAACCTATTTTCTATGTCCACAAATTAAAAATTTTCTGAAGTCAGAATTGCTAACCTGCATTAGCTATCTTGAGTTAAAATAACAGAAAGAACAAGGAAATTTGAGAGACAAAGTCAGCAGTAAACAGAAAATGGATCCCTGAGTTCAATTCAAATCTGAGTTAAAATCCATGTTCTCTTGTCTTCAGCACTATTTAACTCTCATTTAGGTTACCCATCCTAGTCAGGATACAGGAACATAACTGTACATGAACATATATGTACACTAACATGATGCATTTTCCC